CCTCCTCCTCAGTGCAAAGAAACCATAGAATCACTAGGGCACCACTTCTCCCACCCCCTCCAAAAAAGCCCCACTGCCAACAAAAATCAGAGAAAACTAGGGTACTTTCCTGAAATCTGATCAGACTCCATTTTTCCTCATATTATCAATTTTGATTGGGAGCAACTTTCTTGAGGTCTCAGACGGACTTTCCTATCAACTGGAGATGCCAGAGATTGAACCTGGAATGGTTCTATTCTGATTTAGTTTTCTGCCGAGGTGGCGCAGTGGTTAGGGTGCAGTACTGCAGGCCACTTCAGCTGACTGTTATCTGCAGTTCAGTGGTTCTAATCTCACCGGCTCAAGGTTGACTCAGCCTTCCATCCTTCCGACGTGGGTGAAATGAGGACCCAGACTGTGGGGGGGCGATATGCTGACTCTGTAAAACCGCTTAGAGAGGGCTGAAAGCCCTATGAAGCGGTATATAAGTCTAACTGCTATTGCTATTGCTCTATGTTGTACAATCACAAAATCCCAGTGGGATTGGCAGAAGGAAAATTCATTTTTTTTAGAGATGTTTCCTAACTTTCATGCAGGAGTCCTAGAACAGCGTACATGAGATCAATTTCCCCAACCATGTCTTTCCCCATCACCAGTCCAAGCAAGTTCCAATTTCATCATTTATTTATCATTTTATAATTCTGTTTATATATATACATATTTATATATATATAAAAAGCTATCGAGAGAGAAAGTTAGATCGCAACAGGCCTGACAAAAGAGAAGAATACACAGGGCAGGGAGGATGGGTGGGTGCAAATGGCATCACATTTCAGGAGAAAGAGGACTGTTTAAAATACTTTTTTTTTTCCATTTTTTTTTCTCTTTTTAATTCCAAGCCACCTTAATAGACCCACTAAAAGACTTCAAAAACACCAGTCCTAAGACATCTAAAACAAACTCAAGCACAAGGGGTTGGGGGATATTTACAGAGAGGGGGAAAAGGCAAGGAACGATTTCGTGTAGGGCCGCTCAAAAACACCAGAGTACTTTTATTATTTTTTATTATTATCTTAAAAAACTTTGTATGCAAAAAAAGCAAGGATTCATTTCATCCCCGACAAGCAAGAGAAAAAATAGTCATCGTTACAATAGACAGAGGTGGAAATGGGGGGTTAAGGGTTGATTCAGTGAACAAGAAGCCACTTTTGAAAGACGAGAGTGTGTCGCAAGGCAGCTGCGTGAGATGCATTCAAGAAGCAGGGAGGGTCTTGGGGTATTTTTTTTCTTTCCTGCTGTTTGAGAGGAGAGTTGGAGTTAAGACAGAGGGAAGAGGAGGTTGTCGAATGGTGGGATTTGGCCCAGTGTAAAGAACTGGCTGTTGATCAACCCATGAAAGAGGGAATGTGAATTAACAATGAACAGAAAGGACAAAGGGATTCTTCTAAGTGGGCTCTTCAGCACCAGGAGACCCCGTTCTGGCAGGAGTTCTCAAACTGTCTTTCTAGGCTACCTTGAGATCTCTTGGCAATTGATCAGAGGCTCTTGTAGGGCTTATGGTAAACAGGTACTACTTTAATGGCAGGTAAAGAATCAATTTAGGTGAAGCAAAGAGGACGTTCAATAGAACCAACTGGCCCATGGCTTTCGTGAATGCAAAATAGGTCTCAGTTTCCATGGCAGGAAAAAAATATATGGGGATATCTTAATGGGTGAGCAGACATGGAAAGGCTTTCCTCAAGGTAAAAACTTTGAAAGCCACAATTTTGAGAGAACTGCTGCCTTAGCAAGGCCTGATTTAGAAAAAAACGAGGGAAGAAAGAGTGACAGATCAGCAGAGAGGCAATCAGAAGATTTGGCTGGAGCATCCCTTCCCTTCTAAGAGAGGCATCAGGAGACCACCCTTAGCTGAATCCTTGAGAAGGTGGCCAAATGGCAAAATTGAAAGACCCAGACTCTTTCTGACTTTCAGCCCGTTGGTATTCCTTCCTTTTGCATAGCCACAGACTTCTGGCTTCTAGTTCTTTCTTAACCACCCTTTCTCCCACAGGCGGAGAAAGGATTCCCCGTTTTTCGGTTCCCAATTCTTTCAGGCCTTCTCTTTTGTCTCCCGTCCTGATCTGGGTTTGGGATTAGACATTGCAGCACCATCTAACATCCCCTTCTTCAACGAGAACAAAGAATGAACATTTTGAGGATCTTGAGAGGGGTGTGTGTGTGTGTGTGTGTGTGTCATCTGCTCTTTTTGGCAATTTTGAACCTTGATTCCCTCCCCTCTTGTGAAGCCCTGGGCTTCACCAATAAGCTCATCCCTTGGATCATGTCATATGCCCCTCCCCTTCTCCCTCCCTTCCCCTTCTCTCCCCACCACACAAAACATGGACATAGTTTGGCTGAAGGATAACTGGTTGAGGGGGAAGGTGTGGAAATGAGATACTTTTTAGGTGGATTATTTGAGGAATCCCCTGATTTTCCTAACCCTCCCTGATTAGTTTTTTTTTTGGGGGGTGGGGTTAGCCAGTAAACAAAGGGTAGATTCCACCAATTACTATTTCCATTCGAAGAACATTGATTCTTTGATTCTTTGCCTGGGTGAGGTGATTAACCCTGTGCTCACCTCCCCTGCCCCCCAGCAATCCACAGGGAAATCCTCTTCTCCAGGACTGGGGGGGCTGGGGAATCCTTTGGGAAACCGCCCTCCGCTTATTCTAGGGCAGTGACCACATTGGTAGGACTGGTAGCGCCAGAGCTGTCGTTTCCGCCTCCTTCTTTGCCTTTTTGGCCACTGTACTGGCCAATGAAGGAGCCGTCCTCATTGAACTGGACGTCCACGCTGCCCCCATAATCTGCCAAGCTATCGTCACTCCCCAGAGCCTTGATGTCACCATTCAAGGACGGTTGGCTGCTGGTGAACGGTTTCTCCTCATTGTCACTGTAGGGGAGGAAAGGACAACAATGAGAAAGGGTAATAGAGTGGGAAGAATCATATCTTTATTTATAGCAATAAAAATTCAAAGCCAAAGTAATCTGAAACGCTGCTGTTTTTTGGACTAAACGGTTCCAAATCCACAGCAGGGTTGGTTTGGAGGATCCATGCTGCTTGCGGCTTTTAGGGGTTGCAGTCCAAAAGAACCCTGATAAAAGCCACAGCATGCTAAGAGAATAAATAATAATAATATAGTAGTATAGAGGGAAGCATGGTAGTATTATATATCTGCACATATAAGCAGGATAGCTACAGGTGAGCATGCATATAAACTCATGCCAGTCCACATTCCATAAGGGGTCTTCACACAATCTCAGAATGACTGAAAGGGAAACTCCAGCCCTATGCTCCAGCCCTATGCTCTGGCCCTACGATCTCCCCGTTGAGATCCGGACCCTTACTACCCTTCCGGCCTTACGCAAAGCAACTAAGACCTGGCTGTTCCGGCAGGCCTGGGGCTGTTGAATTATCCAGCCCCATCCGATGTTATGACTGTTGCTGAATTTTTAATTGTTGTTTTTTATTTTTGTACCCCCCCCTCCCCTTCTTATTGTTAGCCGCCCTGAGTCTTCCCGGGAGTAGGGCGGCATACAAGCCAAATAAACCTAACCTAACCTAACCTAACTTTCCTATTTTCCCCACAACCACTATCCTGTAAAATGGGTTGGGCTGAGAGAGTGCCTGGCTCAAAAATCACCCAGCTGGCTTTCCTGCCTAAGGTGGAACTAGGGCCCATGGTCTCCTGCTTTCTAGATTTTCTAGATTTCTACATCAAAGATTTGTGGAACCTCTTCTATAGAAGAGGTTAGAACTGGCAGGAACCCACCCCTGCTACTTGCCCACTTCTGCTTGATCGTGGCCGCAATGGAACAGAAGGCTGAATAGTGTATTGGTGCTGCAGCCGCAAGGCAAGGCAGGTGTCGGGGTGTGGATGGCCCTGAGATAAGCTAGTGAGGGGCGCATGGGGAAAGTCCACCCTTCCCTGCCTTGCAGTAGAGATATTGGCACACCATGTGGCCTCCTGCCCCACCACGAGCAAGCAGAAGAAGTGGGCCTCCCCTACATGGGGAAAAAAAGACACCCCCCAAAAATAAGCCCCAA